TCTAAGAAAAATTAACTTGTTTTGTGTTACACATGGGTAAACAAAATTCCCAAGCGGGAAGCTTGTTTACAAAAATATAAACTTGAGTGTGCATTAGCACAGCTATACCGAGGGGCAGAAGGAACAGTGAAAACATATAGGGGTTAGTCACATGGATCTTCACAACAGAATAACTAATTGAGATTCATTCAATTATAGCAAAGTTCACAACACCTACCTTTCCAAAGATTAAAATTCTCCATATAGAAAAGGAAAACCACATAAGGCAAGAGATGAATTTTTTACACTCAACAGAAGTACGAAGCATGAGAGAAATACAGCGAGAGAGGAGAAATACTTCAGAGTTTTATTTCTGGTACGGCTTAGGAAGGTGAAGCCAAGAGATAGAAGGACAGTCGCTTTGAACTTTTACAATTTGTTCTAAAATACAGACTCAAACAAAATTCTAAATCGTGTAAATTGTCCTCACAAAAGTTGCAAGTATTACTCCATGTGAGAGAAGATTTTCTAAAAATAAAATAGGTTTAAGATAGCCTGAGGCCTAAAAACGAGTATTTTATATTTAATAAATACTGTACTATCTAGAGAAGAACGACTGGAGTAATGAAACAGTCTTCTAAAATGACACCGATAATTTTGGTAAAAAAAAAAAAAAAAATATTTGCACTTTAAAGTATTGAAATTATAGTTTTACTTTGAAAATTAACACACAGCTCTTATTTGTTTCCTTATATGTCATTTTGCCATCTTAAAATTGATTTTTTCGTGTACTTTGAGAGAGAAGCCAAATGTAACATGCTGAGTGGCAAAAGCTCTACCTACACTATTGGGGATGTACTAACACATCATGATGGTATCAGCACTTTTATGAAAACTTTCCAGATTTAAATCTGATCTTCATAAGGTCCTGGCACCATCAGCCTGCAGCATCCTCATGATGATTCGTGTCTTGCTGAATACTGGCAGACCTAGGCACCATTACCTTTATGACGGAACATGGTTGATTGGTTATTAGAGTATAGCTAAGCACACGAGAGCTATCTGTCTAAGAGGATAGATGCTTTTGTAAAGAACTTTACAAGGGAAACTGGCTCATATTCATGCTACACATGAAAAAACACATGAAAACTAATTATGCAACCAGTCCATCAGCAGGGGACCGAACCCAGTCAAATTCACAGCAGTCAGCAGCTACTGGCAGTGCAGATGGGAAATAATTAGGAGCATGTTTCACTCTATGGCACGCAATTACTGCATAAAAATTTTAAATGATAGAGACACAGGTTACTTTGATATTTTTTTAGATTATTTTAAGTTTTAAACTTTAATTTTGTCTTTGTTAGTTCAGAAACAGGCTGATTGATTTATTTGTTTTATTGCACCACCTTCTTGATGATGATATGGTAAAAGGTGTAAATTTCATTTCTCACTTTTGTTTTTTTGCATGTTTTGCCTCTTTCTTTGCAGTTTGATTTGGGTTTTTGATTTCTGCATGTGTCTTATTCCAAATTCAACATCAGATGAATTTTAAACATATTATTTCTTTTCATTTATTTTGCATTATATTACATATACATATATGTAATAATAGCAAGGAAAAGATGGAGCAGTGTCAATGCGTACTATATAGGATAGATAGTAGCTCCATATTTAAGAGGAAGAATTCTGATTGCTTAGTATGCTAATAATGTTGATTTCCTAATATCTAAAATCTTGGCAGTCGTGGCAATTTTAATTCCATTTTTACTTGTAACTGACATTTGTGGCCATAGTTCGCTTGGCACTCTAGTCACCTATTCAAGAACATTTACATTTCTAATATTATTGCAATAGAAAGCGAGCCTGGTGAAATTGCTAGTTTAGCACTGCAGAGACTGAAGCTAAAGTGCAGAGTTATCCAATGTGTAAGCACACATAGAGAAAAGTTTTGGTTGTAATAAATAATAATAATTACAAATAAAATAATAGAAAACATTTATTTTCTTTTCACTAAAAAATAAAACACAAAATTTTATATATGTATTATTATTATTCTCCTTTACATCCTAATTTTTAAATGTCCAGAGCAACAATTCTGAAACGTTAGTAACACTGAATCTAAAATTAAAACAGCTACAAAAATGCTTAAAATGACCAAACAGCGGCTGTTTACAAATATTATGAGATTCAAATAATTATAAGTTCAATCTGATTAAGAATATTCTCCAGGCAGTATTGCTACTTTTTCAAAATTGTTGACCAAAACATTTTAAAATTAGGATGTTTGAAGAAAATAAAAAAGTGATGCTTATTTAGTTTGCTTGTTTTATTTATAGTGGAAAGAAAATAAAGTTTTTTATTATTACATTTATTATTTAACAGATTTCTAATTATTATATTTATTTATAAAATAGTGGATTAATTAATCCGTGAATTTTAAAATTAATAAACTGCTTTATCCAGTACTCTTCTGTTATTGGAACAGGAGTCAGAAATGAGTGGATGCATGTATGCATGTCTATATGTATGTATGTATGTGTATACACATACATATATGCACATACACACATACATTTCTGAATCTGACCTGGATACCCACTTTTGCTTTATACAAAACAATTCAATAGTAAAAAAAAATAAACTGTTTCAGTTAAAAAAAAATTCTCTTCAATTGCTTATTTTCTTTAATTTATGCATTTATTACATAAAAAAATTATTATGAATATTTAAAATAGAAATTAAAAATTTATAAACTGACACAATTACATTTGCTTTACAATAAATATTTGCAGGTTACAAATTCAAAATTACACTTTTTTTATGTCACTCCTGACTTTGGGAAAAGTTTGAATGGAGATGAAGTTATATTCATTAGACATTAAAATACACTACTTGCAAATATTCTAGTAAATTAATTTTATTTCATAATAATTTCAGAATTTCTATGAAAATCAGACAAACTAATAGTTAATCTGAATCAAGAATCTAAAAATAGTCTGGTGGCAAAAATGTCCTCGGGGAAATCTCACATTTCCATTTATGAAGTTAACAAGCAACACATTAAAAAAAACTGCTGAAGAAATTTATACTACTGTCAAGAGCATATACGAGTGCAAAAAACTGTCAAGGTGAGTAATGCAAATAACATTATTTTACCTTATAAATTTAAACCATCTTAAAAATTGTTTAAATGAAAGAAATTAGACAACATATATAATATTTTGCCTCCTATTTCCTAAATCATTAATAAAAAATTAACTTATCACGGATTTAAATTACATTTAATTTTGAATAAACTTAAAGGCATTTAAGTTTTAACAGAGAACTCACTTGCTTTCACAAAGTTTGCAATCTTGGATAAATTTTAATTTATTACTTACCCTTTCAACTGATGTTTATGTATTGCCATAAAATTCTTTCAAAATGAGAAGGAACTTATATGCCCTTCAACTCTGAAATGAAATTTCACAGATGTTGCCATAAACTACTTCCAGTTTTAGTTAATTTAAATGCTCTTCAGTTTTCAAGTGAAATATGCTAAACCTGTATGAATAACGGATAAATAAAATTATAATAATAATTTTGGGCAAACATAGAAACTGGTGGTTTTTAAAGGATATAATACCTTCAGTTTATCCGTTCACATATTTAAAAAAAAAAAAAAAAAAAAAAAAAAAAAAAAAAAACAGACAAAACTATAACAAAATAATCTTGAAAACAAGAGTTCTCCCTCCCCCCCCCCCAAAGAAGGAATATAAATTTATGCACATGTTTTATACATAACAAAAGGAAACGACTTTTTAAAGACAACTAATAGACGAAATAATTAAATTAATTAAAGCAAATTCAGAGAACTGTATACTAGTTGAAAACTATATATTAAAAGTGTATAAATTTAATTACAGATCAATTTATGAAGACATGAATAAAAAAGGTTTTTATAAATCTATTTTTTGCAAAATAAACAATTTTTTAAAAAATTCCCGTTAGATCAATATGTGTTTTAATAAAATATTTTGGAGATTTCGAGAAGTTTTTCATAGCTCTTTATAAATCATTCTTTCAAAATGCACTGCATTTATTTTAAAACCAATATCACTTGCACACTGGATATTGTTTAAGCTTCACTTTCATCTATAATACAAAGTATTATTTCATGATAATGCGATTTGACTAATATTAAGAAAAAATAAATTAGAACATATGTTTATCCAGGAACGAGAAAAAGTGATTTTCACACATGTAACAAAATTTTACCATTTATGTTAGTTTTTTGGCAGGAAATTTAAAAACATATTAACATTTGTAAGTACCTGCAATTTTATATTGTTTTGAATAGATAGAAATTAGTTCGAATACATTTGACAGATGTTTTTTAATGAATATATATTTATACGAAGGAACGCAGACTATCTTTTAAATATAATATAAATAATCTCTTCGTGAACCAAAATTTTCTTCAGAATCATTTTTGGAGAGGCAAAAACCAGTCTGAGCACAAAAAACTGTAAAATTCCATAAGAAATTTGAACCCTTTTCATATACATAAACATTCTATAGATATAGCTTTAAGGAACTGAGTAAGAACGCTCAAATACGACACTAATTATTGCACAAACTCTAACGTAAATATATGAATACTTTAATATACACACACACAAAAAAAGATATTCTTATGGTCATCTGTGATAAATCCTTCAAAAAGAACAATCCTGTATTTTTTTTTCAGCAATACAGCATTACCACACGATGCTTCTAAATTAAAGAATGCACATCTGCAAGTAAAGCTTTCAATAAACTATAATTTCGAGTTGGAACATCCTCAGAATTTATTTTTACGAGCATAAAAGAATCACACCAAAATTCTAATTTTCGCCAAATTCTCATGGATACCAGTTTTCTATGTGTTAAGAACACTACACTTATTTTGTCAGCTGCAATAAATGCCTATAATTATTTGCACATCACCCAGGCCAACATTATGTTCGTTTTGGTGCTATATAATTGGAAACATTACTTACTCAGATGACAAGTACTAGGCCTAAATCTCACAAACAGCGGCACAGTTTGGTGTGTTGATGTTGCATGGGAGTTCCTCTCAACACCGTTTGTTTCAAATGAGATCTTTCACCCTTGAATCACAGAGATTTTCACCAGATACGGCCACAACACTTAAGCTGCACAGTGTAAAAAAACTCTTTCACCTCGCATTTTTATCGAAAATTGATCATATTGTACACAAACACAAAAATGAGATCACCGCATCCCTAGCGTCTTGTGTTTTCATTCACCATTATCCACTATGGCCGACAGTAGGGTTGCCATATCGTAGTAAACAGTGCCGTATTTCACTGTGAGTGATATTTATCGCTCGATCACACTTTTTTTTCGTCCGCCAATGCAAGAAAAATTTTTAAGAAACTTTCAAGTCTACATTACCATTGCAGAATATCCTATCATGTAATAATATATCTGTAAATATCAACAATGTAAATACAGGCTTTTTTTAGGCAAAATAACAAGATCTCAAATTTTCGTAACATTTTATATATGTTTTGCTGCTGTTGTTGTATTCTTTTTTTTTTTTTTTTCCTTTTCTTTTAATCTGAACTTATGTGCTACACATATATATATATTTTTTTTCCTTTTAATCTGAACTTATATGTTATACATGATTTTTTTTTGTTTGTTTTTGTTTACTTATTACGTGCTCCTTCTTTAGGCACTACATAGAAAAGGAGGGATGCCCTGTGAAAGTCTTTTTGAGGGAGCCGCGAAAACGCCCATACAGCCAGCCCGTTTGCCGGGACTCGAACCCCGGAACAAACTACCAGTTTCAGCGGCTTTTTTACCGCTCGGCCGCTGGTGGGCCTTATGTGTTATATTTCAGGCCTGAATATTGCCTCATCTGCAACAGAAGCTCACAAGGCCGGGCAGTGGGAGCTAGAAGGGAGGCATAGGCAGCGGTATATGTGAAACGTTATTTTGTAGGGGTTAAATGAAGTGGATCTTCGAGGTACGTGAAGTATAATTAAATCTAAACACCAATATGGAATTTAAATTGAGGAGAAAAAGAGTTGTTGATCTAGATAAGGTATTCAAAAAAATTATCACATGATTTGAATATCTACACTTTATTATACGTTTTCCATTCCATCGAAACTTTTGAATGCAAATTAGGAATATCAACTAAATTATAATGATGGTGACACTGATAAGGAAGGATTCCGTGTTAAAAAAAGAAGTGTTTCGGAATTTCATTGCTAGGAAAATTGGAACACGAACGTGGAAGGGCAGTCCTTTTAAATTTTTGCAGTTTTTTTTTTTTTTTTTTTTTTTAAATACGATTTCCAGAACTAAGTTTCAAATATTGTAACATCAATGCGAACTTTCCTGTCAGTTGCTGAAGTGTTCCTAGTTGTGAGCAAAATTTTCTAAATAAAAATCATTTAATCATTTAAAAAATCAAGAACTACAAATGTATATTTTTCTTTTAAGAAATCTTTGTTTACAATCTATATACGAAGAGCCATGAAATAAACATTTACAATGTCACTGACGGTTTTGCTAAAAAAAGGGGGGCTTCCCTCCCAAAAAAAATGCGAGAAGCTCCAGATTTTTAATTACATCCAAAGGGGCGTTTTTTTAATGTTTTTTGTGTTACCTTTATTTATTAAATATCATAGTCTACGTACTCCAACCATAAAATTCAGTTCAATAGCAATATGGCAAAATAATTTTAAAATGAGCATATCTTTAGAATTTCCAACACAGAGTCTGGCGCGATGGAGATAAAAAAAAAAAATTTTTTTTTCGTACAGTGTTTCCACTGCTCGCTTTGAAATCGTTTAGTTTTGTAATGAAAAATTCGGTGAAGTGTTACAAATTATGAAACCGATAATAAAACAAATTTCAAATTTAAATTAGGGCTTCCACATGACCATATGAAAGATTACGTTATTCAAATTTTGATGGCTCTAAGTACCGTTGTTTTATGACAGTGCGAGAATTATACATACATTCACGCAGATTTTTCATCATTTAATTTGTTTAAATATAATAGAAGGCTCTAATATTTGGTGGCAACAATTTGAAAAGTGATTCGCCATTTATAGTTTTCACCGCAAAAAGCCAAAACGAAGTCAATAGTCCTTCAGGGCAAATTGCCCCTTTGGACTAATAATAGTATAAATTTTAACATGTTAGAATTAAAGTTACATATTTCCCTATATGTCATTTTGGCATTTTTTATAGTTATTTCTTTGTATATCAAGAAGAGTGGAATCCCGAGAACGGGCTGGCTGCATGGGTGTTTTCGTGGTTTTCCCCATGTGTAACGTGTATACGAGCCAGTTTCCCTTAGAAAGTCATCCACGAAAGGCATCCCTCCTCTTAGGCAGATAGCCCTAGTGTGCTTTGCCATAATTAAATACACCACCACAACACCACACGACCAAGAAGAGTGGCAAATTCAGAGCCTAGCCTCAAGTTTTAAAGGGCCCCCAAATCCTCCTATTCTTCTTCCTTCTAAATACTGTTTTTGTCTCATGAGAAAAAACTGGCTTTTAGTATCCTAGAGAGAACGCTGTACCTGGGCGCCCGGACTAGAATAATCTGTCTTTAATCTTTGATGTAGGCTCTTGTCTTGTACCTCCACATAGCAAAATCTCGTTGAATGAAATTTCATTCAAATAAATTCAGTTATTTCCTATCTAAATCTGCATGAGTAATTTAGATAATTTTATGTTTTAATTTTTTTAAAGTTAACTTATTTATATGAAGTAAAGGAAGTATAATAATCCCGAAAGATTTCGGCTATCATATTTCAGAGTAAATATCCATTTTGGCAGTTCCTGAATCCATTTTAACTACTTTTTTTAGTGCGCGTACGGAAAAAAATAAAGGATTGTTTATACCAAAACAGCTTATAAAACTGATTCAATATGGATTTTTTTTTCCCTGACACCTGTACGTGCGAGCGTATATCTCGCATAACTCAAAAACGATTAGCAATAGAACCTTAAAATTTTGGATATGGGACTGCTATAAATTTTGGATATGGACTAACTATATTTATTAGTTGCGCACCTCTTTTTGTAGAGACATTAGGTTATTTCGAAGCAGGAGAAGTGAAAAATGAGCAATGTTCTCGCCGGGACTCGAACCACGGACCTCTCGAATAAGCGACGAACGTGCTGACCCTTACACCAGGAAGGTATGCTAAGAAGGCGGGAGAAATACCTTTACATACTTCCCCCTTTAAAGGGCGACTGGAGTTTAGGGCACCTAGTCGCCAAATCCTGAGAATTACCAGTCACCACCTTTTTTAGATCGGGCACCACTGTAGAGACATATTTTTTTAGAGCAGGAGAGATATAAAATTAGTAATGTCCTCGCCGGGGATCGAAACATGGACATCTCGGATACGCGCCGATCTTACTGACCGTTACACCACGAAGACATGCTAAGAAGGCGGAAGAATACCTTACCCTTTTTTTATAGCAATCGGCAGTGCCAAACATGTATATATTATGGAAGTAGGAAGTAAGAGGCGAGGTCCTAATTGGTTTTCCCCATATATTGCTTAGAAGTAGTGATTCCCTCGTGGAGACCAAAACATTCGCTGACTTGCCATTAAGATCAATGGTTTTGATATGTTCGGATGTAAATATTTTGTAATTACGTCGTAAATATACATATAAATGTATATATTTTCTTTTTCTAGAGTATTTCGGAGTCCTAAGTATGTGAACAGAATATATTTTTATGTACTTTTTCCAGAACAGTTTGCTCAGAGCAGTTTAATTTGAATGAAATATTTTCACAAGTTTTCTTTAATTATATTAGAAAAAAATTTTAAGCAAATTCAATTTTATTCGGTTAAGGATTACAAAAATTTAGATCAAAGTCTATTGTATTATAAACATTAAAATTAGGCACCATTTCTATTCTATTTACAGAGCTTCTTCCTAAAATACTTTCTCAAATATGAGATGATTTTTTAGCTTCTGAGGCATCATTTAAATCGAAAACCCTGAATCAGTTTATAATTAATGCTCTATATGGTTCATTTCAAATTAGAGCACCTTTTTATTTTAATAGTGAAAGGCGTTAAATACTGGTGCTGATTTCCCTGTGCTTAATTTTCTATGAATATTTCTGAAAGGAAATTTAAAAAAAAAAATAAAATAAAAAATAAAAAAAATAAAATAAAATAAAATAAAGATTTTTTTAATACTAGTATTTAAACGTTGTAACTGAGTTATTATAAAATGTAAGGAAATAATAATAATTCTTTTAATACTTACCTGATTTTTTTTACCCTTAATTTCAAGAATTCATATTTTAGTAATTCTTCTTGATTATTTCTTTAAGTACGCATCTCATAGAATTTGCTTTACACCTTTTAACAGATTGCTTTCCAGTACAAATAATCCTTGCTTAAATAGTTTTATAAAAGTTTCAACAGAATTTAACTTTATGTTTACAATTAAATGTTAAGGCTATTATATATTTAGATAATATTTATACTCATTATAAATTTATACATATTTAATAACTACATTTCTTCACAGTACCTTTCAGAGGAGTATGAATGAATAAATCCTTCACATCCTTCACATTCACATTTATAAATAATTTTGCTAAAGGCAAATGCATGCATTTTGCAAAGATATGCGTAAATACCCATATATATTTAATATTTTTCATTTTCGGCGTGCACAGATCTTTAATTTCTGTGCATACACTATATTTTTCGAGTAAAGTAATTTACAATAATTTAACATATACCAGAATTTTTTCATAGAAATATGTATAAATATAGTTTGAATGAAAATTACATGCATTTTTTAATACCCACTGAAAGGTCAGTTTACCTTCGAAATTCATCCACAATGGCATCTCTCCCTTTAGGCAGACAGCCCTTACATGCCTTATGCTATTTAATAAAAACTTAACCTGACATTTGTGCCCAACTACAAATATTTTAACATATATAATTTTATATTTATATTTAGCCATCAAGTTTTAAACTTTTGACTTCAAATACGTCTAAGGATACATTCATCATCAAATTCAAATTTTATAGTAAATATATTTTGGCAGAACATTCAATACCTCTCTTAGCGATTTTACCCAGTTTAGTAGTTCTCTGATAGTGTAATAAATAATAACTATCCATTTCGCATTTATCATTGTCATCAGATCGCAATTAACATGAGAGCATGAACCTCGAATTTCCGGGAAGAAAAATTTTGCGTGGGAAGCATGTAGCAATC